CTCCCATTAAGGAAAGATATTTCTGGCTATATTATATCGATAAAATAACTCCAAGGAAAGAACAGATTGTTTAATGATACTTTATAAGCGTTACTTTTTCTTGAACCACAAATTCTAATGTATCGTTGTCATTGAAAATGATGGGTCTGTCAAAAGAATCTATTTTTCCTCGCAGCATAGAGCGCGTTAACAATAAATTTAACGCAGAGAAAACCAATCAAGCTTAGAATCTAGGTATGTAGGTCCTTGTTTATTTTCTCCTGGTGCTCTCTTTATTTGCCCATCCATCTGGAGGGCTCGTAAAAAGTTTCGATCAGCCTTGCAATAATAGGGGAATTCCTCGCGAAGGGTGGACGTCAACGTTTAGTAAATGAGCACTGGCTTATGAATAAACGGTACGTGTCATAAATTGCTTCTTCATAAGGTCTCGTTTTATCTGGTTTAATCCGGTGATAATTGTGATACATAAAATTAATTTTTATCAGTAATGGTTTCTAGAGGTTTGAGGTGCCGACGAAGTTTGGAACGAATGTAATACGAATTTCGAATATTTGCTCGGCGTCTTTTCTACTTTTGTTCGAGGATTTTTTCCGGTCTTTTATGTTATTTTCGGTGTGAAGTCATTTGTGTTAATTTTAGTATGAGAAAATTGCTCGGTATGGTCAGGAGTCTAACTGTATGTGGTATCTTAAAAGTAGAAATATAATAATAATTTATATATATTCAAATAATAATTAATTAAATCAGATAATGTTTGGAGTGATTTTTAGAAGTTCGAAGTTGTAGAATGAGTTTGAAACAATTGCAATATGGATTTTTAGTATCTTTATATTTTTATTTGGAAATTCTTCAAGATTTTTATGCTGCTAATAGTATCAAATAATTTCATATCATTAAAGTTGAATATCATTAAAGAACTATTGGTAGAACAATATCGACGACGAAATGTCGGATAAATGATTATTCGTCCGAGTATCGAAGAACGATATTCAGCTCGTAAAAGGAAACACGATCGCGAAACTTATAGAAGTATTTCGATAGCTTTCACTGATTTTTAATGCTGCTATAAATTTTCATTATAGTCGGTCTTATTGGAATTTCGAGAGAACATGAAAGGTCATAGTTGAACGTAAAGACATACAATTGTTACGGATTGTGCCAGATTTCACGATATCTACCGAGTCGAAAACATTTACAGTGCTTTCATATGCTCGTCACATCCTTCACGTTTATATTCATGTCTCTCGTATACTTCAGCCAAATTGGTAAATAAAATTTGAACAAGCGTCCCTATAGTTTTACTTTAAATAAAAATTCTAAAAATACTCTGCCTTTCAGTTACCTGGATAATAAATTTCAAAAAGTCTAAATATATTATCCTGCTTTTTTTCCTATATGGGACAGTCTTTTCATAGTTTTATTAGTTCCAGAAATAATCTTCTTTTCTATAAGATTATACAAGGTGTGCTTGCATTAATAGACCGTAGTGCGTTATGCACTTTGTCTAACTGGGCGCATTGCTTTATATACATATATAATTAAGGAGTTACCCAATCAATTGATTTTGCCACTCAACGAGGCATCCGATATTTCAAAAGGATTGAAACGCTTATATAAGCAAAGATATTACATAAAATTATTACGCTTATGCTGGTAGCAGCATCTCCCTTATCTCTGCAACATTTCATCTGTTCAATTATTTTCAATGCTACGTTTGCAATGGTAGAGTTACATACACGTTATTGCAGTATATATTATGTCAGTTGAGTATTGTCTACTACAGATATTTATTTTCTATTATATGCGATATTCTCTTGTATCTTTGAATTCTCAGGAAAGATGCTTCTCCATGCCAGTATCTCCCCTCTAACTTTAATTTCTGTGGATATTATGTACACGTACAATAACAGAATAGCCCTTTTAAATATGAATCGTTATATGTATTAGATCTGTTACTTTAGGAAAGCCTGTCCACTAATAATTTAATTTCTCATAAGAATTGTAATTTTGTTAATTGCAAGGGGTAAAATATTTTTCTATGTCACGTTCCCCTTTCTCGTTTCAAGCAGCAAAGCCCAACTTCAAATTGCCTCGGTAAATAATCCCCAAGATAGTGTAAAATACAAAATAAAATTGTAAAAGCAATAATGAACGAGCAAATACGAAAAGGAAATATTTTTCACGTTGGAAATTTTCTTCCACGGTAATCGCCGATCGTGATCTTCTCAAAGAAGTCTTAATTAACCGCGAGGCGTCTTTTAGCAGTTTCGATCGATACATTTCAATCCAAAAATACCCACATACGTCAGTATATATCTGCGAACGATCGTCAGTGTTCCAAATACGAAAGTAAAAAAGTGACAGCACCTTCGATTCGACTTATCTTTTACAAATGCGACAATGACAAGCTGTTTGTCATATAAGCGGGCAAGTTTTCGACGAGACCAAGGACTTGGTTTCCTTCTTGGGCAAGTTGCGCATAAATCGTCTAACACAGAACAAAAGTTTCAGTTACCAAGACCCGGGGAAAGCTTCTTCGAGCCGCGTTCGACCTTCGAGCTTCTTTTCAAATTCGTCGTTTCCTCTTCCTGCTCGTTCCGCACTACTTCGTTTCGACTTCCTTCTCCTTCAAGGAAACAACTCGTTCTTTTCGAACTTCCATTTTACAGAATCTTTGTTCACGTGTAACGTGTGACGCGTATGTGACGTTGTTGGTTTCGATTCGACGCATATTTCGCTCGTCGATCAGCCACAAAGTCTTCCGTAATATATTATTTTCACCATAGAATACGCTATCTATACTTTGGACCGAGTCTGATCTCATTTGCAATTCAGATTTGTTAGACACGTGACTTGTTTTCAAGAAGTTCTTATCGATGGTGACTTGAAAGTTTGGTTGTTCATTGAAATTGGACAGTCGTAGAATTTGCGAAGTATGAATTTGATTAATGGTGGCTCAGCGATTATTTTCTGCAACGACAATGTGACATAAATCCTCTGTCCGAGATTATCTTTGAATTGTAAACGTTAACATCTAATAATTTAACAGTTTTAATAATTTTGTCCCCTTAGATTCTAAATAAGCTGCGTAACGGGGAGTTTTGAATAGAAAATTGCCAGATTTGTTGAAGTTGGAGTAATTTGTTTTATTTATAGTTTCTTTGTACTCTTGCCTTTAATTTCAATTCTCCACACCATATTCTTCTTGGACACAGAGAAGTAGGAATTTATAGGTTGCGAATAATTAGATTTTCCATTCGTTCGCGTCAAAGATATTACTTAAAGCTTGTTGAATAAAGCACAGGTATGGCGCATAATATCAGCGTTCGCTAAATCACATGTTTTGAAGAAACTGTTTCTAAGAACGGCTATAGATCGCTTGGTAATTGACAAGATTCACAACAATGACTTCGCAGTGTTTGTCTTTAGGATATAAATAAATCTGTGAATATCTTCGATAGACTGTTTTTCACGGACTACGTTTTTCACGAAGCGAATGACAGCACAAAAAAACTGTAAATAAAATCAATTACTCTAACTTTGACGATTCTAACAATCTTCTACGGTTCATAAACCAAAAGTTACAGATCAAACGAATAAATAGAAAAAGAAAGTATGAAAATCTACAAATGATCTACAGCTGTCATGCTTAACGCTCTTTTCTCTAACACGTTGAATGCCATGGGGGTCACCGGTGACCGGCGCACCAAGATTAGTAGAAATACATAATTTGAACAAATATCAATAATTATATTTTTTTATTTTTTTTTAATATTGCTAGTCCGTGTCTTTCGGGTTTGGACGAGCTTTACATCTCGGTTACCTATTTCGCTTCTTATATGTCTACCTCTCCTCTTATCCACTCAATTAATTACTCCCTTAATTATTCTGTCTCTAAAACTATGGCGACTTTTGGGCTTTTTCCTCCTTGCCGTCTTGTATTGCCTTACTATTATTGTTTTTAGTTCTGTTAGTCCTTCTCCAGTCTCGTTTAGTATTTTTATATCAATAGTTATAAATTTCGTATTATTACCATCGTTGCTACAATGGTGTGACGAAATTAAATGCAGTATAAAATTGATAAAAATAGTTTGGAATGATATATAGATCTACTATGTGTGCTTCCTACCAGTGGCTGTCGAACATGGGAAAATCCGCTTTTACCTTAGTGAACAATAACCCTAAGGAACGTTTCTACCTGAAAGATGTTTGATGGTAATTAAGGGCCTTGACAGTAAAGTAAAAAATGCTAAACCTTGTGACGGTTTTTTAGAATTATTGTGGGTCCAAATAAGTATGACTGAGGGATGAATTATGGTTCATGGTAAGCCCCGGGACGTAACAACATAGAACAATTATCTAGCCACGCGAAGGGACAATATGAGATAATTGATAATGGCAAAAATTCACTAATGTTGATTATACACTGTATACATATCTCTTGTAAGTAATATTTCAACATGATATGTATCTCATAATAAAAAATTCATCGTGGCGCCACGGCCAAACCTTGTAAAACTGGCGTGGCATTCAACGTGTTAACAAGCTTCTACTCTAATTACTTTAACTAATTACCAAATTTTGCCATAAATATTAAATATAAGCATATTTTCGAAAGAGATAGTCCATTATATATTTATATCCAGAAGACTCAAGTATAATTTTAATTCAGCCTTTTTAAAAATGGAAAGAAAGAGACTCTTGAGACGACTTAAAATAAAGTTCTCTTCGATGATGTGTCAGTGAAACGAGGACTACAGGGGCTTAAATATAGTAACCGTAACTGAAAACGTTCTCTCGTGTGGTAAACACGCTCGTGTATAACGCACGACGAGGTATTTTTCGCATGCATGAACTATTTCGATCCTACGTTACGTCGATCATCAAGAAATTTACTTGTTTCGACTCGTACGAACGATAAATCTTCCCTTCGCTCGATCAGTTTCGATCGACATTTGTTCTTTAACATATCGAAAGGCGGTGATTCCATTGTAATTCAGGTGACAAGACGGACTGAAGTTAAAGGATGCCGGTCCTCTACGCCTCCATTCGTCGCCCTTCCTGGATACCAAGGTACAGTATATTTGAAATGTCCCCTACAACAGAACCAACGAAACCTGTTTAATAAGCGATTTATCATTGTTAGTCGTTTTATAGGTGTCTTGGATGCGAAGAGTGGAAAAGGTGTTGTAAATTATGTCCCACACTTGCAAATGAGAAATGTTTCTTTGTGCGAGTAATCTCATCTGGACATACATGCAATTTATTTGTACATGTTTCTTTATACACAGCGCAGGTAAAAATGTGGACCAACCTTACAAAAGACACACATAACATTTATCGTTTAAATAGGTTGTAATTTGTTAAGTTTATTAAGTTTATTATACAACAATTGGTGGAGCGTGAAAGTATTAAAATCGTCTCGCTCGACGATTATTCAGCGCTCCGTTTTATATTCAAAAATATAATATAACGTAAAAATTGAAACGCGTAATGTCATTTGAAATTTGAAATTTTCACGATGATTAGATAACATAGATTTACTGCACATATATTGCACGCTCGCTTTTCGCGTTTCCGAGGGATAACAGTTTTAAACGATACTTTACGATGCAATAAATACTTCTCTTGCGTTTATCATTGTTAACGTTATTACAAAATTGATTGCAAATTGCGCATTGATCACCTTCAGAAACATAAAGCGACAAAGGATCGTGACAGCGACGAATGGATCGTTGTTCTTAAAAAATATCTCCATGTACGTTAAATACGATAAATTTGTTGCACATAAAAGCTCAAGTTTTATATGCGATATTCGTGCAGCGAGCCACTGATATAATCTCTGTTCTTCGTGACTTCGATCCTGCTTCTATCGTTAATTTCTACTTTCATTACTGATAAAAACGCCTATGAAACTCGAAGGACCAAACCACGAGTATCACATTGTCTAAGGTATAAATTTAAAATATAAAATGTATAATGATTACCTGTTTCCATTTAAAACAATACCTTTACTTCTGATAAAAACACGAACACTAAAAAATCAGAAACATCTAATCTTTCTCACGCTAAAAAACTACCTTCTCCAAGAAACTTTTCTTCCTTAGTCAACTACTCAAACATTCCGCAACCCACAGCGCGCACAATCGATCCAAGCCACCCTCGTAAACCGCCTACACGTTAACCTTGCATCCCTCTAGTCGACGGTCGTAACGTCAGAGAAAGAAAAAGGAAGAAAGTGGTGCGATAAACCGTAGACTAGACTCCCTCACGCGATTAAAAGTCGCCAGAAGAAATGGAAGAGAGAGAGAGAGAAACATTGTTTGTTTTCTGCGACGATCCGCTGTGTTTGGCACGGTTTTAGGGGTGGGAGGCAGCGTTGCGGGTAAGAGGACGGCTTTTGCGCATAATCCTATGACCTCTTTAGCGCGAGGATCCTTCGAAAAGGATACACGGAATGCGCTATCAATTCCACCTTCTACCGTCGGCGTTTCGAAGGACTGTTTGGCCGTGTTCCAACGCACGAACCAGCAGAAAACTCGCAGTCAAAGGCTACCATCCGCGACTTTTCGCCGATCCTTATTGGCTTAGCGTAGTTTCGTCGCGATGCCGTCTCGGTCCGCGTGATTCTTCCTCTTCCGTACGCTCGTCACAGAGTGATTTACATCGAGAACAACTTCCTCGACGGAACACGCTTCTGCGTCTCGTCCTTTCATTTTCTCTCCTCTGTTTTGTATCCGATGTTCTTCTTGTCTGGAGATTATTGCGAGAAAGGCTGAGAGTTAGAAGAAGAGAATTTTCGCCATTCCACGCCGATCGAGGAGCGTGAATGTTGAACCGTTGCACTCGACACGCACCAAGATTTGTTTGTGGTTTGTACATAACGGATGATGGGTGAGCTCGTATCTTGTGGAATCATTGCAGCGGTATGTGCGTTGCGTGTGCGTGTCATGTTTGAACGAAGAGTGTGTTAGATCGTGTGTTGAATAGAATGGAAAGTTTCTCGATCTTCCGTGCGATGCAACTTTTTTGGATATTTTTCTACCGATTCTGTTTTATTCGAATATCGTTACATGACTAGTATAAATATTGTAACTGTACATTAGCAGTTACAATTATTCGGACGACGTCGAAGTTGATGGATATTGCTTGAATAATTGTAATTTGAGACGTCGGATTTCTAACGAATAATAAACACGATGAAAATTGTTTCGTTGTTCTAGCGAGAAATCGTATGCGTGAACAGTAGCCAAAGGATCTTCTATTAACTTTTATTAATTGGTTTTGGAAGCGTAGTAAAGTATAACAAGTGCTTACACTGTCCAAATAATTATGATCTTCATTTTTCAAAGAGTATCCTTAACTATTAAAGATTAAAGAACACAATTTTTTGTGTCAGTAATGTTGAAACATTCATCGCTTTCCAAGAACAAGAAGCTAATTACCCGTTTGTTTTACATTTCAAGAATTTGTTTGATCGACCAATAATTCCAGTATATTTTTACAATGGAACTGTTTGAGGGTTTAATATGATAATAACACAGAAACTTTCCATTCAGTGAAACAACGTTGTTTTTGATTCCTATCAGTCTGTTTGGGAAGAAGGTATTGTTTGGTATTGAAGGCCACGATGTTAGGACGATGGCCGATTAAAAATCTTGGCAACTTCCTGTGCGTGAATCATCGTTAGTCGCGAATTTTCGAGCCTTTTTTGTATCACTGTGCTTCTCTTCTCTGTCCCACGATTTATTCGTACGTGAACGAAATTACGCTTGCAATTAATATGGCTTGTTAGAAGTAACAAACAGTGATACACCTTTCGTCACTATCTGAACATTTCAATGCTTCTAAATTCTGTTTTGTATATTTTTAGTATTTTTGTTAGCAATATGTACGAGGCGTTTCAAGAAGGTCATACAAATTTAAATAGAAGTGCTACACGAGCTGGTAAATTAAAAAGTAGAAAAAGTAGTAAAATTCACATTGAAATTTACAACTGTTTATACGATCTTCTATTGACAAATAAACTTCTCATGTTTCGCGAGAAAATTCACAAAAGTTGAGTTAACTAGTTAGTTTGGTTTCCAAGAGACTTAACATATACGTCGAAAGAAGAGAGAAAAGGTTGGATGGAGACAATCTGTGTCAAGATGCATCTATACATACTTGCCTTGAATTATACGAAGGATACATTGAACATCTACTTTGTATTCATTTCCGTCATACAAAAGTTAATATTTCTTTACTAGTACGTGTTTATGCAACTTTGCTTTTCCCTTTGACACACATAGACATCTAAGATACTTAAATATTTGCTGAAACTTTTTTAAATGATTTGTATTTTATATACTTACATTATATATTTTATAAACATCAAATAAGATGTTCTAAGGGAAAGTGTAATATCTTGAACGTTAGAAGTGCCTTTAGTTAGAAATGTAAAGGCTTGAAAATTTAGAAGAAAATTCTTTAGATCAGTGGTTTTACAAGCAATGGTATGTGTACCGTTAGTGGCACTCAGGTTCTTTTGTACATAGTGTACTTTATCCTAGATCATAAATTCTTATTTGCATACAAAGCATGCTTTTTGGTATTGAAATTTCTAAAATTTTCACTTTATTTGCGCACAAAAGAATTGGAAGTCGCTGTTCTATAGATATTTCTATAATTGTGTTCTCTTGAAATAAAATATATTGCTTCCACTAAATTTCATAAACAATATAGGGATAGTATGAAAGAATTGTTGCTCTTATCAGACTGTGAAACCTCATTTTATTGCGATGGAATTTAAACAAAAATAAGATTAGAAGATAACAAGATTACGATGTTTTCTTTGTTAGCGGAATATCGTTGCATATGTCTACTCTTTTAGAGATACCTGAAGATTTTACAGCTACGAAACGCAGCGTAGCGATGAAAGATGTAACAGCTGCGAATGTTTAACCTTGAAATTAGGATTTCTGCCGCGTTGGACTCGATCAAGACGTTGCAGAAGGCGTCAGCGAAATACTCTTAAGTGAAATGGTCTATTTGAAGCCAGACACACCCAAAGTAGGTCAACTCACTGTTGCGCTGAAATGCTCCCGTGTACATTTTGCGTAGCAGACAGGCTATGCCTGATTCTCAGTCAACTCCGTTTGTAAATTAAATATATCCAATATTTAAACCGTTTGGAAAATCATATCTAATCATAAATATCATCTTTCTTTTTCTTTATACACGATCAATCACAAAAATTTTCTATCATCTGACTATTTTCTTTTTACTGTATAATCTTAGTTTGGAAGCTTGAGATTATTATCTTAGAATCGAATAGTAAATGTTTGTTAAGAATAGATTTCAAGCTATTTATTTGTTTGTTGATGTAGAATTTTACGTATTGCTTATATATGTTTACACGAATACTGTTTGATATATACTTTTAGAATGTATCGTAATGTCTTTGAAATATTTATGAATACTCTGTAAAAGTTTATAACAATGACCGTTTTGCTTCGAGCGAACTACTATCTTGTATGGTAATTTATTCCAGATAGCTTTTGTTCCTTCACTTTTCGTGTTTATGCTTTTAAAATTAATTAAGTGTTAATGGGAGTTTAAAATAGTCAAATAGAAAGGTTTGGAAATTAATTAATCGCCAACTCTGAAGTGTAAATAACAATTGATATTTATCGCAAATATCGGTATTTCGTAAATCATTAAGCTATTTAATCCGCGTTAATTCATCGTACGAGGTACGATACAAGATCGTTGCGATAAATCAAACAAGCAGTTCTGTTCAAGCAGATCGAGATATTTGTAAATTAAGATGTAAATAATTCAGCCGTTCTATCAGCTTCCTTATGCAGATCAAGTTACTTTGATATTCTAGCTACGTTTTTAAATATATACCTGATCTCTTAAGCATGTAATTAGAAACTGTCGCTATTATTTGGAGGAAAATGCACGTCTAAAGATCGTAAGATCTCCTTTCTCTCCTTTTTATCAGCCAGCTATGGATGTAGTAGAGTGAAAGTTAGATTGTTTCCAACAATTATGCCCGGGTTTCTAATTGTAGATTGCGTATGTATCAGAATTCACTATTAAAACACCGTATAAAATGTTACTTAAGGCTGAATTCCATTTAAAAGTTATTACGTGTGAGTGTTAACTAGATGTTCTAATTGTTGGACACACTTTTATTTTCATTTTAATGGTTTAAATTAGTGGCAAAGAAAGATAAGGAAGTTGAGGAACATAATTATCTGAGAGACGTAATCTTCTGGTATCGCATTTTATTTCCAAAGCTGATTTATTTTTGTTATCATCATCTATTATTGTTTATTCATACTTTAATCACAAGATAAACTTTTAATCTTCTTTTCAAAATTTATATAGACCTATCAATTATCCGCAAAGAGAAGACCATATTAGGTCAGAATGTTACTCTTTTCTCCATATGAATCGCTTCGTTTCATCAACAGATTCTTTCATTCTACTCTCTCGTGCTTCAAGAGACCGTATAACCACTAATATATATATACATCAAGCACAAGACTTGCCATTAAAGGCCACTAGCAAATGAAACAACCTCTTAAAAAGAGGCTAGTATCAATTGAATACGTAGTACAAGTATCTGAGTCATCAAAACTTACAGATCACTTTTTCTCAAACTTTGTATAAAAACAAATTTTCTCTACTAAAAATCACCGAACCATCCATTATCATCAATTGCCGTACAATTTTCCTGCATCACCATCCATTTCATTAATTTCTCTATTCTGTCAATATTCCATTCACGACCAACGTCTCGCAGTGAACAGATTCACACGAACGTCTAATTCTGAAGCTGTGATAAACCTAAGACTAATTAGTGGCAATTTCAGCGGAGAACGCGTGCTGAGGTCGCGTCAGCACGACCGCGGAACCAGCCAGGAAAGACGGTACAAGCGAAGCCATCGTCGATCACCGAGTAGCGGTCGCCAGCACGGGCATCGTGATCGCGATCGTGATCGTTTGGCGCATCCCACTTCATCTCGACGTGCAAGGATCTATCGTCACCATGCCTCGTCGTCGACTAGCCAGGATCGACACAGGCATCGTTCACCGTCCTCCAGAAGTCAGGTGAGTCGAATGGCGCCGACAACCGACGCGGACGTCGTTATATTCTGCCCAATGTATCTTTAGATTTCATTTTGTTATATACTATTTGAGATCACATTTCCACGCTTCTGATAATATCGTAGAATATTACGGGGACAAAACTCGGATAGATGTTTAGAGAAATCGGTCTCGATTATTGTCGACCATTCCTCGCGGTCTTATTTACCCTAACACTCATTTCCTATAGTATCACGCTCAATGGCAGGTACTGTGGTACTCTTTCGATTAAAAAGATGATTGATAGCTAATATAATATGATATATAGCTGATATAATAATAATAGATAGCTAATATAATATAGTTAATATAATATAATTTGAGGATGTTTATTGTATGTATTTATATTTTAGAGATTGTTTATACCGACAAGTATACTTTAAATATTCTTTATTTTTTGGGTGGTAAAATATTATTTTCATTCAAAGATTAATGGTTTGAAGACTTGGCGGTTCAAGGATATCTGTTTCGTATATTCGTTGAATCTAGGTGTTTAAAGATTATATATGTATGTTTAACAAAGGTTTTACTGAAAAAAGAACTACAATGGTTTTAAATAATTACATCTGCTGCAGTCAGCAATTAACAGGAGTAAAAAGTTACAAAGTATGAGTAATCTGTCCTAATTTCTTTTTCTTTTTTTGTAAATGTCGTACACGCAAGGGATGAAAAGTTCAGTTACCAAGATGTGTACAAACTTGCAAATAGTATTGCGTGTAAACTATTATATCGTGTGCTGCATATTATAGCATATTGCGTGTGCATCTTTTAGAAATTCATGCAGGCTGCTTGTAGATATCAGAATCCTTATGCACGAACGCATATCTGTACACAATGCCAATACAAACATTTACAAATATGTGGATTTTGTGTAAAGTATATAAAGTTATACTTGTGAACATATCTTCTTATTTAAATACACCAATTTTATAAAATGCGAATATAAATTTCTATATATCTGCAGACTATTCATAAAATTCTATAAAGAGACGCATACAAATTTTTGTCCGCAGATGTACGTCGCATTAAGTTTCTGAATGTCTACAGACTGTTCATAAAATTCTACAAGGCATATACAGACTTTTATTTACAGATGTGCGTCACACAAGGTTTCTGTTCGTGAATGGTTAACAAAATTCTACACGTGGTCACACACGCACACAATGCAATACACGATATATTGAATATAGATATATTAACATAGGATGTCTACACATGGTGCATACGTCCATCATGTACACAAGCCTTGATTTTTGCGGTTAGTCCATTATCTTCTCGTGAATTTTTCACATTGCATTCGATGGAACGTAGATCTGGCGAATCATCCCCCACGTATACAACTCGCTTCTCCTGCGTGTCTCCACTATCGGTATCTATGAAAAGCAAGGATATCCGTGTTGTCTCTTGCGCGTCCCGTTCGACAGACCTCTGGACGATATAAATACGTGGACATGAGCAAAAGAAAAGGATCGATCAAAGAGCAAAGAAGAACGGAATGAAGCGAGAAGAAAAAGTCAAATTCTACATCTATCTTAGGAGGTAGAAGGAGCATAGCGATGGATTTTTGCGGTATTTGAAGACCGTCGATTATCCCATCAAGGAGCGAGCAATGATTTATCATAAATCTGTGGAAATTTCATGAAATTGTAAAATCCAAGTAGAAGAAATGTGTTAGAAAGATGTTAAGCGAACCTTTGGAATTCTTTTTTTATAGACAGAATGTGATAGCGTAAATTGAGTGAGAAAAGTTCAAACAATGCGCGAACGTAACCCGAGAGAAAATAGGAAAAAGAGGAAACGATTTAGTGGAAGAAAAAACCGAAAAGAAGATAGAGGAAGATCGGTACGCGATGCACACATGGGGAATCAACCTCTGGAGAAGGCCGCGATGCAACTAGCGCGGCGACGCGTGTACCCGGAGCAAATGCCGATGATTCTTCTTTCTTAGCCAGCGTCGGCTATTTTCGACCGGCGACTATTTTCGAGGGGGACTCGTCACGCGGTTTCGCCGCGGTTTTAGTGCGAGTTTGCGCCAGATGGCCAGCGCAACACCGTCGTCCTCCGCATCGTCGTCGGGAAACGCGCCGGCAGGGAAGCCGGTTCGCCGGAAGCTGAGGCACCCGCGTAAGACAAAACCATTCTTGCTCCTCCTTCGTGTCGGTTCCAAGAAAATTCCACCACGAATCACCCTGTGGCGGTGGAAGCCGATCGTCCAAACAAGAGGAAAGAAGCCAAGACCCCGGTAATGATCCGGACGTCGATCATCCAGATCTGAATGAAGAGAAATATTTCGTCCATACAAGTGGTACATAAAGTGTGCATTATCAGAGACTGTAGAAAACCAACAGATCTAGAATTTAGAAGAAACAGAGAGATAGAATCTAGAGGTACATATTTACACATCGTCGATTAAGGTAACTCGAGAGATCTCAGCGAGCTGACCCAGAATCGATCACAACCTGGATTTAGAAATACGCGTTGTTCTTGGCAAGATGCGACTGTGAGAGCGACACGAAAGCCTTGTAATCCTACGATACGAAAATTGTACGATTTGCTACGGGAACAGAAGGGAAAGGAACAGACAGTATTGTTCACCCTGGATCATTCTGGAGGCTGGTGCGTGCGTGGCGGCGGCGGTGGCTTGGCTGACGGTGGACCACCCTCGGCTTCGTCCTCGTCGTCGTCGACGATGGCTAGCCAAGAGGTGAACATGTTGATGCCTGGGAACCAGGTGTCGTGGTGGCCCAGGCAGGGATGGGAGCCTTGGGTGCAACGGGGAAATAACGTGGAACCCACCAGGGAACTGGACACCAAGCTCGACGTGACACCAGAGTCGAACGACACATCGATTTCAGAGGTAGCCAACGAAAGAATAGACATTTTTCGAATCTTCATTGGTTTTTTTGAATTTTAGTGAATTTTTCGAATTACCGACGGTCGATAATGATGCAGAGATGTTTAATAGGATTGTTTCTGAGATTTTCGCTAGTCGAGTCATTTTGACTATGGTGAGATATTTGTTGGATATATTTCCTATCGGTCCTATGCATGTGAACTTGTTTTCTCACTTACGTAAAATGATGTGTAAAGCAAAATCATTCAGACGGATATCTCGGTAGGTACATACACTGTCCAACTATGGAGAAACTATGAGCTTTTTTCTACCTTTCAATAGAATATCGACATTTTGTGTCTTAATGCAGTATAAAAGCGCAATAAAGTGCAATATTCTGTTAAGAAAGTAATATATATTGTCTCTACCATAGATTGATTCTTTAACCTGTTAGAAGGGCCAGGTGCAAACGGACCCCCAGTAGAATCTCGTTCTTTAAATCTTATGGAAACAAAAATACGCATTAGAATTTTATCTTTAAATTAGAATAAGATATCTAATTTCAATCGAATATTGAAATAAATGGCAGGATCCGAATAGACCCTATATCTGTTTGATGGGGGTTGACACTTTCTTCCTCCATAGTTGCGCAGCATAACTATTACACCAACACAAAGACATAGGATCTTATTTTACGTCTGTGAAAGGGAAGGGTGGAACGTCGTTGACAAATATCAGGGATAAAACTTACCTAAGCCAGAACTTAGCCTAACACGCGATTCGCCTACGCGTGTACTTGTTTCGGTTGGCCCTCTGCCATAGCGCGACAGCAGCAACGGTGACATGGAACGGGCCAATGAAACAGTCAGAGAGCAAGCGAGTAAAGCGCTAGTTAACCAGCCACTCGCGTTAACATTTAAACGAGCCGGCTGACGACTAGCCCGCCGCGAGCTTTCTAGCTCGCCTCTGCTCTTACGAGGCGATCGTGGCGCACGCGTTTCACGCTTCTTGGTTATATTTGGCAGGCTCGTACGCACGACCACGATAAACACGCGTGCGAACGTCGAGCGGAGAAATACAGTTGGAGATCGCAGTGGTATGGTCGGTTCATCTTCTTTCTTCGCGGCCTTTGTTCTTTCCACTTCCTAGTTGCTTTAGGGATTTGATCCCAAATTCATTGGATAACTCTTTTTCGTTCACAAGTGATCGTTATATGATAATTTTGGTTACAGGTTTGTTTAATTTCAGGGCATTTGTAATTGTAATTTACATCGTATGCCTGTCACAAAGGTTACTAAAGGTATTTAAGATATAAATTATCAATTTTTAGATTGGAATTCTGTCTAGAGTACATGTCTAGAAAGAGGTTTTATGTCGCAATAATTCGTTCACTTCGGAGCTTGACTTGTATCCATTTGTTGTTCAAATTTATTTTCTCTCATTGGCACGATTAATAACTATGCACTGTTTGTGTCGTTTAAGAAGCATAGGTCGCACGCTGTGCGTCAGTAATCGTGTCGGATAAATAGTATAGAATCGTAAACAGTGCGTCTTACGATTATACAAGTTTTATAGAACGCATAGAGTGTGTCATCGTTCGTGTCGAACAAGTATATAGGTCGCACGCTGTGCGTCAGTGGCTGTATCAGACAAGTAACACAGGGCCATAAACATCGTGTCCCGTGATTACTAAATTTCATAAGACGCATAGGGTGCGTCAGCGTTTGTATCGAATAAGTAGTACAGCGTGCGCGTTGTACGTCAGTGGCTGTATCAGACAAGTAGTATAGGGCCATAAACATTATGTCCTGTGATCAGTAAGTTTCATAGGACGCAGACAGTGCGTCATCGTTTGTATCGAATAAGTAGTATAGGTCGCTGTGCGTCAGTGGCTCTGTCAGACAAGTAGTATAGGGCCATGAACGTCACGTTGTTGATTCCGATATACAACTCTACAGGACACAAAGGACGCATCATCGATTGTGTCGAACAAGTAGTACAAAATTTAGCAAAACCAATCGAATAACTGTAAGCTATACTTATTCACTATCTATTTTTAATCACGCGAAATCAAATATATTTCTCAATGGAAAAACAAGTTCCTTATCAACCCTGTTATCAAGCAGATAAACATCGAAGCATGAGATTCGGCTATGGAAGCTCAATGAGAAGGAGAAATCTTGTCAAAAAAATATTCTCATTCTCAGAATGTACGTTACAGAATCGTTTCTAGGCCTCTTCTTCGTTGTAACACAGTCGTGTCTATGGATGTGGAATTTGTTCAAAATATTTCACTGACTAAATATATATTTGCTAGCGGTGATTCTGTGGCGGATAGATGTTTTTAAAACTGGATGTGAAAATTTATCAAACAGCAGTCACTGTACGAGACAGGGACGTATTGTTCGTGTATCGAATGCTGTCATAAACGTTGCGCTTCTTTGTCGTTAAACCAACGTTTACGCGATATTTTCGCGCTAATTCCACCACGTTGGCTCTAAATCATCGTTTTTTTATTTTCCTCTCTCCCGGAAACGGCCGATGATGCACGCAGGCAGAAACGGTTTCCGTTGATGCCAGGAAAGTTCCGCGTGAAACGCGAACTCGTGGGCGAGAATCGAGCATGAACTGCGCCGTTATTTTCTAACGCGACGCGTATTTATACCACTATTTTGTAGGAAACCCGCGACATCGATATCATCGAATCGGCGACCTTGAAGACAAAAGGCCCAGACTTTATTAATAGTTCGCGAACTCTTCCACTGACCAACGTACTTCGCTGGTCCGATGTTTAGAATTTAGAATTCGACGATTTTTTGACGAATAGTGTACTTCGACTATGAAAGAAGCTTTTGATTAACGCGCAATTCACATTTTAACAAGAATTTGAAAAATGTTATGTTTGTTTCTTGATTTATCGACGCAAGAGGCTTATGATTGGTAATCGATGACAATGAATCGGTGAATATTAAAATACAGAGAATGCACAATTATATATCAAGAATCGGAAGTAGAGTACTTGTTACATTATCTAGAAACTGAAGAAAATTTTAGATTCCATTTCTTTACGTGCGTTTAAAAAGACAATTATATAAAGAGCCGCAGTCTATTAATAATCAGTTGATATACAACGATCAAATACTTTCCATAAAGTTGTTCTTTGATATCGTATGACGATTTTTGAGATACAGTATACCCGATTTTTGTTTGCTTATGGAGGAAGTATCTGGCCGATGAGCAATTGGTGAACTGTTTCATATGACGGTGTCCGGCATCTGGTCATTATATTACGAGAATCATCTGTGATCTGAATGATATTTTCAATAATATACAAGTTACAATTAGTAGTATTAGGAATAATATACGACGTATGGATGTATTCACCAGATTTAGATATCACTGCTTGGATATGCCAATATTTTTTCTGTCAGATTAGAACAACCTTCCCTGTCTGACTCATAATTTGTGAATCAATCAACCTGAAGATAAAGTACTTTTCAAGCAAGAAAAAAAAGATTGACCCACATGGTTCGATAAAATGCAAATGTGAATTTTTTTTATCTCGCGTTAGCCCTTAAAAAGCAATTTTATCGTGATATTCTACCAGCAAAGACACGCTAATTCATTTTCTACGCGGTACAAATCACTGTGTTCTATTTTTAATATTTATTCATTTATCGTAAACAAAATTACATGAGCAGAAATAAATAAATTCATTGCTAGACGAGTAAATTATTATTGTTGTAGAAGTACAAGTATTTTCTACGCTATATATCAACTTGTTTTCGTTGGGAGATATAGAAGAAATTGTGTCAATGTTGTTTGACATACCAATAAGTGTATTATACTATCGATAGTCCATTGAGTTTTCACGACCATCAATTGCTTTCCGTCGTTCGAACTTCTCAATAGATGATATTCTTCAAGGTGATGGTAAAATTTGTGTTGCTTATCTATTTTGTCAATTATCACGTTGATAGTTTTACGATTCTCTGAATACTCGCATTGTTCATTAATGGTTCGAGTTTCTTAACGAGTATGTTTACCCCCAAGTAGAAACATATCCACACGATGTTTTGACAACGCGGGAGGCCAATGACACGTTTTAGAGCATCATTGAAATTTAGCTTGTGCCTGCGTACAACGATCTCGCAGAAACTGACGGACCGTGTTCTAATTAACCAAAATTAACTTGGAAGTTCTACGAATACCAATGAACGTAACGATAATAATAAACATCGATAGCCAAGCCATACCATGCTGCATCGATAGTTCGCTTCTTGGGCTCCAACATCAAAATCTTCTCGATGGTGTAACGATCTCGCAAAAATCGATTGGCAGCGTTCTAACGAACCAAAAGCCAAACTAGAAATTCTACGACTACTAATGAACACCGATAATGAACACCAATAGTCAAGCCGTCGTACTATACAGCATCGATTCTCGCCACCTCTTGCACTCCAACGTCAGAATCTTTTCGATGGTGCAACGATCTCGCAAAAACCGATGGAGCGCGCTCTAATTACGCGCAATACGTATATCCGTCACCGGCATAGATCGGAATTTAATGCCACGAAAGCTCCGTTGCTCCCGTTCGAACCGCGCTCCTCCTCCGATTTCGTAATTTCTATATGTGTCAAGGTGCGCAGCGGAGAGACAGAAAACGAACGAGAGACTAAGAAACATCAGGCACGCGTGTGCGAAAACGCCCCCCTATTCATACAGCACATCGTCATGTACAGTCCATGGGCATCGAATTAGGATCACTCGAAACTTACGATAGTTTTTACCTTTTTAGTAAAATAGAGAGGTGCGGTAGAATTTTAATGGAAAATGAAATTAATTCATTTATATATTAATTTGTCTCCATTTGAGGATTATACGTTTTTGCGTATGCTTCGTTATATAGGATCTTTATATTATCTTTACTGTCTTGGTAAACATTTTTCTTGGCCAAATTGTGCGGAATCTTTGTTCCCGAATCTGATAACGTAACAGTAAAAAATAAGTACAGAGGATTAACTAGGCTTAGAGATATCTTTAATGGCATTTTTTATGGCAAAATGGAATAATAAGTGAAACGAATTAAATAATTGATTGTGTATGTATTTAATAATAATTTTTACAATTCAGGACAATTTGCTTTTTATCTGACATAATACCAGTATATATGACATACACTGAAAAGTCTTAAGCACCTTTTATTCTTCACAAATCTTCGATATCTGATGTAGATCGTGAACTTCAAACGATATAAATGTACTTTCTAGTGAACCTGTTAATCCATTAATCGGTTCTTTTGTCATACACAAAATGCCACATTAGATGGTGTTTGTTTACGTCCTTTAGTGATCATTTAATATTTCTCGGTCTGAAGCAAACAGGTGATAATTAGCCTGAGACTTTTGAGCGAGATTTGCCGCGGTTATTCTCCAAATAAAGTTTCTACGCGTAGTCCTAATTCGACAGTCCAGGAACTGTAATAACCGATGAAACACTCGAAAGTGAAAATCCATGCACTCGAAACAACCTACGTACAATACAATTTCGATTCCTACGACATATCGACTTGGCGAGAACACGACCGTACCGCGTCATAATAACCAGAACCTTAAACGCCATCGGTGACAATGATGCACCGTAAGCTTCTTCCGACCTCGTCGTGCACCAGGAAGCGGTGACGTTGCCAAGACCCGATCCTGAGGAGCGTGCCGAACTTCGCCATTCCGAATAAGCGAGGGACAAATTTACGTAATACTCTACCACTCTCTCCTCTTCGTCTCTTCCTTCCTACTGGTTCCTTTCTGTTCCTCATCGCAGCACGGATTATTCGTTTTCGTACACGACAGAGAGAGAGAGAGAGAGAGAGAGAGAAATAGATATCGGTAGAAAAGAGGAACGAGGTACGAAGAGTTTGGAGGAAGAGAGGCAGAGATAGATGTAGAATGGTCGGAGAGTGTAGCTCACCACCGCTGCCCGGTATTTTTAGTGCGACGAGAGTATTTGGCGGGGCGCACCGAATCCTCCTCCTCGTCTTCGTGAACGGTCGACGTCGGCCGTCGTCTCCGTGACCGCCGTTGTGGTCGTGCTTCTCTTTAGTGCCTTCGTCGGCGTCCCTGTTGCACGATGCTCGCACCTACGGCCGAGTGATGAACCTGCGGCCAGGTCCGCGTCGAAATTCTCCGGCAATCGTCGCTGGATCGCTTTTCTAATCTTCCGAGTAATCTGTATAATCCTTCAATCTCTCGTTCGTCTTCTGTATATTGGCGCGCGTGTGTGTATGTGTGATTTTGCAGTTGAATCTGTGAGTCGATTGTTGTTTCTCGCAGCCGTTGTGCGATACAGGGTGAAGATACGTCGCTTGTGTCACGCTGAGAACACTCCGCAAGCTCTAACGGCACGACCTTGAAGCCTGTTGTAACCGCGGTCCGAAGAGCTGTCTCGCGTTGGATATTCGAGGAAACGCACGCGAGGGAAAACTGACGCGTATCGAATCGCGCGATTCAAAGTGCGAAAACAAACAGAATTACCGGAGGAAGCTGCCGTGTGGAATGTAGTCGGGGAAGTTGAATTCCATTGAATTGTTGCACGAAGAGTTTCTTAGATCAACTTTTCTAAAAATCGCTATCGAAATCAAAGACTCGGTCGTCAATCAAACATTGGATCGTTGGCTGGAGATTCTCCACGTGGCTTTAGTCGAAATCGAAACTTTAGAATTAACAATCGATTAATCAGATCGTTGAATGAACATCTTTTTGTTGATTTGGATCGAAATCGAACACTTGCAAGCACTAAATCGTTGAACGAACAGTTTGCTATTTGTTTCTATTGAAATCGAAGATTTGGAAGCAGTGGCCAAGCACCGGACCATTGAATCGACAGTTTCCTATTTGGTTTCTATCGAAATCTATCGATTACATTGTTGGGCGAAGATCTTCCACTTGGTTTTCGTCGAAATCCAAGTTTTGGAAGTATGAACTAGTTACTTAGACGAGGAATTTTGTATTTGCTTCTGACAGGTATCGTTAAACCATCGATCAAACTGTTGGAAGATTTTCTACTTTATTTTCTTTAGGTTTACTAAGATTTCTCATGAAGATAAAAGGTTTGAAAGAATCAACCAATCGAGCGGATAATTGGACGAAGATTTTCAACTTACCTTTGACAGAAATCGAAACCTTACAACTGTAGATCGATTAATCGGCCTATAGAGAATTTTCTACTTGATTTCCATCGAAATCGAAGGTTTATAAGGATTAATCAGAACAGATAACCGCGTGGGCGTCGAAACTGTGTCTCGATGTTCATCTTCGCGCCACGCGACAACATGTCGACGTCTCGTCAAGGTTCGACGGGTCGGCGAAGTCGATACGCGCGCTCTTCGACCACGACGAGCGTCACTCAGCTCCTCAGCGACTCGTGTTCGAATCTCCTACAACGATTAACCACCAGAGTACGAGGAATGTCTACGGTGAACGACAACGTGGGGAACAAACCATCTGTTACAAGACCATCGCCGATCGTCAGTCAATTGAACAGCGCAAGAGCGCGTTTAGAGGACAAGTACTGTACAATCCTTGACAAATATTCGAGAAAGAAGCATCACGATCACACGGATCGACCGTCCATCGAGTACAGACGCACTCGCGAACGAGATCGAGATCACGCTTATTATCGTCGCGAAGACAGCCCGTTTGTCCGCGACGAGAAGACCCTGGAACCTTCGATGACCCGAACCGTGATCAAGAGCCAAACCAACGTAGTGCTCTCGGAAAAAGCGTATCCCTTCGTGAGGTCTCCCACCGCGAAAGAGTTCAAACGCGAGAAAACACCCGGCTATCATCGTGTAGACAAACACGCTTTACAAAATTCAGACGCATATCGTAGATACGGAAGACACAAATCTGGCCATGCGGAGACGCGTACGAGAAAAGTGAGGCCGTATAGAAACGGTAAAAGCGAGCAACTGGAATCTTCGTCCGGTGCTCTTCGAATAGTTCGACCGATGAAAGTGGAGCCTTTGGTGTCGAAGGAGAAGAAGGACGATGATCCTGACAAGACACCAACGAGTAGCGTAGTTAGAGAAAACGTCAACGATGTCAGCGTCCTTCCGATCATCGATTCCGAGGAAAGTGATCCAGCGATCTCCGAGAGAGTAGCGAAGAGGAAGGAGATACAGAGTTTGATCGAGAAGTACGCTGCCATGGAAGAGACTTACAGTCAATTGGCTGCAGGAGGTCAAGTGAAGATGAGGCCTAGCACCACAGATATAATCGCCAGCAAGTATAGGAAGAGTACTCGTCAAAGCGAGCGAAAAGACGCGTCGAAGAGCGCAATGGCCGCGAGTGTCGTTAACAACAACGCGGACACGGTCCAGCACGCGATTGTAAGTTGTCGAACCGCGGGTTTCTATGGGTTTCTCTGACGGCTGTCGATCGTGGATGAACGTTGTTCTGATCAGTCCCCGTTGCTGCTGCTGTGTTGTTGCGTGCCACCTCCTCCTGCCGCACACATTCCTCTCTCACAGCTGTTTATGCGTCTCCGCTCGAGTTAACAAGTCCAACCCTTGGCTGGCGATTCCAGAGCCGCGATGATCTACTAATCGATACTTGTGTTTGTACGGCGTCCATCCGAGAGATAGTTATTGGGTCGTTCTATAAGTCTTGACGCTTCTTCTCTCTCATCGATCTTCAACGAACGTTATTCTTTACGTAAGAAGCATACGGCTTTTTCATTGTTTGCTTCTTTCATCGGTGTTTGGTATTTAACAGGCGTGAATTTGAACTTGCATCTTTGATCGAAGATGGAACGGCGAAAGAACGGCAAGTGAGAGCTTAAATCAAGGGAATTTAGTTTAGTTTAGTTAGTTTAGTTTAGGAAATTTTAAGAAGATCGATAGAACAGCGAAAGTATGGCAATCGAAAGCTCGAATTGAGAGTATGCGACGCGTCTGTTTTCTGAATGGACACTTGGTACTTAATAGGCGTGAATTTGATGAAGATTGATGAAATAATGAAAAAATAGCAACCGAGAATCCAATTAAGACTGTATGCTTTCTGAATTATTAAAAAAAAAAAAAAAAGAAGAAGAAGCGAAAGTGGAAATTAAAGATTTTAATTTGATCGTTTTAAAAACTCCAGATGTAAAGACACGCCAACGATGGTTTTTCCAAAGTTCCAAGCAGGAAATTCTAAAACTTCTTTGCTCGGATCCTGAATCAGATACGTTCGATGAATTAAGAATAGAAACGTTCGTATTTAGACGAAAAAGGTGACAGGAAACGAGGTAGTAGAACGCGTTGACGATTGAGCTCATAGTACTTTTCTGCAATTTCGCGTCAAAGTTTAGCAAAAAAGCGACGAGATTTATAAAACGACCTAATACAATGATACGAATTTTGGTTCGTCATCCAAGAATCGTATTCCTGAATTTTTCTCGCGTTTTCGAGCTATCTTATCGAGACTCGTGAGTTACTAGCCTGTCGTTATTAGGAATAGAGAATTAGGTTTGGTATTTGATAGTCACGTGGTGCTTCGAAAGGTAATTGAAAACCCCAAAATTCGTATAATTGGTAAATCAGACGTAACGAGATTATAATGATCGATCGAGTAGTTTGATCGGTTGAGATTTTAAGAGACTCGTTCCATCATCGGTATCATAAATCGTTAGTATTGTTTTACTGCCTGTAGGCATTCAGACATTTTATATGCAGCTACAGGTCTGCAAGCAAAATCTGTAAGCTGTATACACTTTTAGTTATTTAAAGCAACATTTTGAAGCCTCTTGGGTTGGGATTTTGTTCACCTCTGTCGTCTCACGTCGTCTTTGTAGGAGAAAGAATTTTTCTTTTTTTACCTCGCTCTTGAAACAGAAGACGACACATCAGGGTGGGGAGAGTCGACTTTATTCGACAGTAAGGCTCGAACAATACTGATTTAGTGCGTTTCATTTATTTTCTACTGATTCCAATCTAAGTATCCATTTTATCTTCGACTCGTCGACAATACGCAACAATAAAGATAGATTATTAGAGTTTACAATTAATTTAATTGAAAATATGTACAGTATATTTAGAGTCTGGATTTCCAGTCTGTGGGTTCCAAGCACCAGTGCTCGGCATAGTTATTTTTATAGAAAATTTCTTCGCAAAGATTTCTAACGCTTATCTATTCCACTATAGCTGCATACATTACGCTATCAATGTTAGTTTTAATACTGACTTTTGATAAACGAAGGCAGATTATGTTATCCATGTAACTTAATTATGTTATCCGTGTAACTATCACGTTAGATTAGAGATTATATTCTTCTAGATCTTTATTCTTATACATCTATTCTTAACTATTAACTAATCTATTTTATTTGGCTGTTATAAAAGAGGATCCCACTTAATGAGGATTGGGAAACGCTTCTAGAGCATTCTAACTCTTTGAAATATCTCAAATCATCGTAATACTCGGCTAATGTCTTTCGAAGCATCACTGAATATTCGTACCAGGATGATAAATCCGTTTTAACAAGAAAACTTAACTATATGTTATAGTTACGTAAGTGAATTTTTTTTTCCTCTGGCCGACTGACTTACTGCGATGCCGCGTCGGCGCGTTGAAAAATTCTCGATCTCACGCTCGATGTTCGACTAATCCGAAATAATTGCGCGTTGGCACCGTGTCAACGATCCATCGAAGCTGCAGTGTATTCAGCAAGTTGTTATCGAGTTTAGCAAACTGTAATTTGTAATATCTCTTCAAACCATTGATGGGATAAATTTTCTCTAAAACATTTTTCTATACGTACGCGTTCTTAATTAATTCAATAATTAAACCTTTACACATATATTATGTATTTTCAAAATGTGTTTTCGCGATGAAAAACATTTCTATTTAATCGATAAGGATCGATAGAGTACCACAGTTTTGTCCCCTCGTTCTTCAAAAAAAAAAGAAAAAAAAAAGAAAAGAATCGTTTCAGTTCATGTATAGTAGTTCATGCATCGAGTCAGTTTGAATTCGCGCGTCGATAAGGTAGACTCGAAGTGTCGATCGATCGATCCGCACTGGCGCGCCGTACGAACGTGTCACGACGGTCGATCGAAACGACGGATCGAGCGTCGTGGCGCGTTCATTTGGCGCATTCACGTAAGTACACCGAGTTTCTACAGATTATTGAAGATTAACATAAATATTGAGAAAAAATATATAGTAGAGAAAAGACGACCTCTCCGAGCATGTTAGAGAAAAGAATAATACGTGACGAGCGCACTCGAGAGAAGCTGTCCGACATTTTTTCATTCATCGATCTTTATCCCTGTAAATGAATTCAATCTCTAATTCAATGCATATAAACGAGAAAGTAATATTCTATTTCGATATTTACGCGTATATTTTAGATATCCATTTTCGTATATTCCATACGCTAAAGTAAGACAGCTCCTTCGATGCAATGTACAAAGTAACTAACTTTAACACGAGTATAAGAGTTTAGGAAAAAAACAAGATCTAAGTAAAAAAAGCAATAGAAACGATATTCCTATATCTTTAGAAAAAAAAAGTAAAAGGTAACAAATGAGACATAATGATCGTAATATAATAATCATATTCGTAAATTTTAAAAAAGTAATAATAGTAAGAAATGACAAAATATGTTCGCTTTGTGCCGATGGTAAAATTCGTAACCGCAACTTTCTGACTTGGCAAACCATTTTGCCCTCTCCCCTTTCTCTCTGATTGTTGGGTTACCATCTCCGTTGTAATGGAATGGAATGGAATGGAAACGGATATGGCACACGGATTGGTCACTATGGTCTCGACTGGGCGCTCGGATCGGGTGGTTCGATGATGACCGATGACGATGATGTATCCCCCTACTTCCTCCCCACCGACACACTCGTACGTTCGTCCGTGCTTACACACGTCCTCTACCGCGTGTTACACGGGTCTCCGCCCTCGTGGTGGTGGTGGTGGATGACGGTGTGTGGTGGCGATCGGTTGATGCGACGGCTCTTGGATGTGGACACTCCAACGTCTCTTCTTCTCGGCCACAATGGGATCTCACGCTCTACCCTGCAACGTCAACGATGACCGACAACTTGGCCGACTTACGTGTGGTGGCCATTGACCACACGCAACCTATCAACGTGCGAACCACAACGACTACGTCTTCTCTGGTCCAATCAACTGGTGAATCGTCGATCAACGTTACGACCGCTGGGGAAATTGGTTCTCTGTCGGGGCTCTTCGTCATGAAACCGAACACACTGGGACTGACCGTCGGACCGACCAATGTGATCCGGACCAACCAAACGGTGCACTCCACACCACTGATTGGGTCCTCTGTTGGCACGCGCCGCTGATACCGATTCCACCGGCCCATATGTAGAGCCCACGACCGCCCTCCGTCGAGGACGACGAAGACGGCCACCTTGTTTACCAATCCGGCGACATCCTGGCAAATAGATGTTCGTGAATACGTGAATACACTCATTGTAGTAGATTTAAGCAAGCCTCAGATCGATTGGTCGATCGATCGATCGGATCGGTTACCCACGGTATCTGCCCATGGTCTCTCTTTGCCTCTTCTCGCCTCTGCTTCCCCTTTCTTTTTCTCTTGTTCTCAAACTTCTGTGTTGTAGAATTTTTCCAACTTGCCTCTGTGTATTTCGTTGTGTATGCTTGTTTCAGGTTGATCCATTTCGCAAAATTGTTCCTCGACGTTGTTCTATTTGTTTTAGTTTGACAAATCCTTGATTCTTCTTCGTGATTGCTCTGTGTCTGATAGTCGAGAGAATATTGGATACTTCCTTAAAAATTCTCTGTCTGTCTTAATCGAAAAGGGTTGATTCTCCTTTCACATCGATTTCTGTCCCTTTTAATCATCTCTTTCAATTAATGTTTGTTAATGGGTTTACGGTATAAGGGGTTCCGCAAATGACTTTAGATGGTTGGAAGGTTTGGCAACACGTGTTCGTCGTAGCGATCTTCTTCCTGTTACGAATATTCGTTTTCCTCCACCCTACACATCGTAATCGACGAGTATATCCAATATATATATATATATATAGTGCAAATTGATCAACTCTTGCTACCTCAAACATATCCAAACTAGCTCAAACATGTTCAAAACACTCTAAAACGTTACTGTGTGACTAATTTCTCTATAACCACTACTTAAATATCTTTCCCACTATCATGTACTACTACTTCCAAATACTTCTAAATATACTGGATTTCTCATTAAAGTATACCACTGTTTCAAGTATACCAGAGAATTTTCAGAATCCACTATTCGCATATATGTCTCTGAGAGTACAAATACAGCAACTTTCTCGGAATGCTATTTGCAATATAAATTCCTCTTCTCTTGTATCGAGCTTTCATTCCTGTCATTGAAGATGAAATGTCGGAGCCAGAGAGAGACAGAGAGGCGAAGGAAGGAGGAGAGACAAAGAGAGATCACGCTTGCGCTATCTCGTCGATACGTTTTCTTCGGGATGACGTGTTCCCCTGTCTTTGAACAGGCGCACGAGGACATTGGACATTCGCTCTCATTATTCCGATGGCTTTTCACACAACGTTTCCAATGCATCCAGCCTATTCAAGGCTGGAACAGTGACAGAGAATAGTGTTGACGTCGGGTTTTACACGTGCATCCGGATGTGATAGTCAATGTTATGTCCTCAGGCTGCCAATTTTTTACGATTAGGGTACCTCGGCCTTTAGGAGAGCAGCAGTTCCGATCGATAAAACATAAAGTTCTAACGATACCGTTTTTTTCACTTAAATCATACATCCGTTCACAACGTATGGCGTACAGAACACACATCGGCCGAACGTCCAACAAGAAGTGCGTCTCTGTTGTTCTTCTCTTATCTTCGTTAGAATTTTCTTAGAAATCGTTTGATATATATATATGTATGAGAAATTTATCATCGATGAGAAAAAGAATATGTTAAATGTTGTTCGAGATAGTCCATCGATGATAAATTTAGGTTTTAGAGTCGAGGGCAGGGCCTTTATAGAGCAACACGGACGATCCTTCCATGGACGGGAGGTCTTTGATGTATTCGGACGCTTATCTATCTTTTTACATTGCAGATAAAGTACTGGCCACCCTAGGAGAGGGTACTTTTGGAAAAGTTGTCAAGGTTAAGGACTTGCAAATGTAAGTGGCAGCTAATGTAACTACTACATAGGTAACCTACCTCGGGTCTGCGTTTTTCTATTTTTCTTTAGTCTCCTTTTTATATACAGAATGGCTTACTGTTAAGATGTCGAATAAATTCCTCTATGCTATATGTGTTAAAAATTTTGTTTCAGGTTTTGGGAATTTATAATGGAAGTATTTGCGGAGCAACGTAAGGCAATAATCGAATTTTGTTTCTGAAGTTCAGTGCTGTTGTCTTAAAGTAGGGAATATACATTTTCTATTTTTACGCAAGGGATTTGCTTGTACAACTAGGAATATATCATTTGGCCCGGCAGATTCAGCTAAAGGAACCTGTCAGTGATTTACTACGAGAAACCACATCATTCGACTGAGTTTTACCATACGTGATAGAGAAAATCCGTAATAATTTCGACAATTTTGTATCAATTACAATTTCTAAAATTTGCTTGCACGCGTTTATCTTGTTACCAAACTTGTTACCGTGCAAGACAATTTATTATCACTGGTAACTTGCAACAAAGCCTGTAAGATTCCAAATTGGCAAGACAGTCTTTAAATGCATGTTCTTGGCTCTGTCCAAATACTTTGCTTGACATATGTATTCGATATTTTCCTTAATACACATCGAACATGGTTCTCTGACTTGTTGCAAATCGCTGACAAACTCTTGTTGCTGGAGACAACAACAAACTCTGTGTGTTACTAACTTTATGGACATATTCACGACATAAAAATTAGGCGATACAGCGTTAATTTAAAAAAATGGTATTTAATTACTTTTGTTGCTCTGTAGTAAATGCTTCCGTAATGAATCTCCACTATGTGAAACACAATTTTTTTCAAACATTTAAGACACGCGTAGAAGAATCTATTCTGTTTTGATAGTAAAGTAATTTATAGATTATCCTGTACTTATCCTGTCCTACTCTGATTTCCTCCAAGTTCCTCCTGACTTTTCTTTCTGGGATATTCTTTTTGTTGATCCTGACTTTCTGTCCACTCAGAACAACATGCACCAAAGAAAATCGCAAAGGTGCGTGGCGCGACTCGAGTCATAGCAGAGTCAGAAATAGCCGTGCCGCAGTGTCACAAAATGACGCGCAAGTAGTCGCAATAATAGGATGGCCTTGCACTTTGTTTTACGGGCCTCGACGGGCGAACGAATTGTCACGAAATCGCTCGTCGGGATGCCGATCAGGGGAGAATTTCTTTGAACCATTTTTCACATTCTTCTTTCCTTTCTTTCTTCTCTCCTTTGTCGCGTTTTGGACGTGCGCGCTTTTGTGTTTCGTTATGTATATACGATGATGTTACCGACCATGTGGATTATTGGCGGTCCGGTGGACAGTGTCGTCTAATAAAAGTACAATGACGTTTGCAGGGATCACGTGATGGCGCTGAAAATCATCAAGAACGTAGAGAAGTATAGAGAAGCCGCGAAGCTCGAAATAAATGCCTTAGAGAAAATTGCGACCAAGGATCCGGAAGGCCAACAGTTAGTATTTGCGTGGTTTTTCGACCTGGTGGGGACTGGACCGCGGCGAGTAGAAGAGGGCGATTCTTCGTGTAAAAATAAGCTGAAAATTCTGCGGCGAAATTTCCGCCTACAAAGACTCAATTTTTCTCTTTTTTGTCTGAGGAAATTTAGTTTAAGTTTACTTAATTGTAACTTTAGAATATGAGGTATTATTTGGTTTAGGAATTGTTAAAATTTGTACAAATTATATTTAAAACTTTGGAAGCAGAAGGTAATGTAAATAGAATGTTTACATTTTGCACTATGCTATAATATAGTAGAGATGAAGCAGCGTACTACAATCTCCTAACGTTATTAATAGCAGCAATGTTCAATAAATAAGACCAAAATATTACAATTAAATTTAATATTCAATGCAATATGGATAAGAAATTAAGAAAAATTTGATTAAACTGCTGAAGTCAGCAGTGTGTGAAGTAAATTACATTTGATCTAATTATGTACAAATAATCTTTCGATATGCGTGAAATGATTTCAAAAGATAAAGCAGAACAATCAGTTTATATTTACGTAAAAGAATCGCCTTCTACTTGCTAGCACCATTCTTCCTGCCTATGTATATTTTTACAAATAGTGAATTTGTTTCTTGCGTTCATCTAACATTTTATTGTTACTTTCAGCTTGTGTGTGAAAATGCTCGATTGGTTCAATTATCACGGACACATGTGCATCGCCTTCGAAATGCTTGGGCTTAGCGTCTTTGATTTCTTGGTATGTATGGCATATTTATCAAATAACGTATCGATTCCATATTCCTAACTGTTTAGTATCTACAGAGGGATAATAGTTACCAGCCTTATCCATTAGAACATGTCAGGCATATTGGGTATCAACTTTGCTACGCCGTCAAATTCTTGCATGATAACAAACTTACGCACACCGATCTGAAGCCAGAAAATATATTGTTCGTAGACTCCGATTATGAGACCATATATAGTAGCAAAAAGGTGAGCCATGATTAGATTTTTCTATATTATCATGGGACAGTTTATTATGTCACTTGGAATAGTGTAGCTCTATACTTATGAATATTCTATTTATAAAATAGTGCAATTGAATGTTGAAATGGAATTAATAATTGTACTCCATTTATTTTTACTTAACACGTTCTATACATTCGTGTCAGTAAAAGGTATGCATGTGTTAAAGTACGTTAAATTGAAAAGCATCCAACTTTCTTTACTTAATTTATTTCAGATCTATTTATATGCTAGAGATATTTGTTTTTAATTCTCTCTAATTATTAATCGAACTGCAAATAAATTGACAGTAAAGTATTTAATGCTGCATGATTCTAAGTGACGCTTGCATTATATCAATTAAGTAAAAAATAAATGTAGGATAAAATATAGTGTTCTAAGTGTGTAAAAAAAGTTTCTACTTTTTAAGCGGAGAGACATTAGGCGCGTAAAACGAACAGATATTAGACTCATCGATTTCGGTAGTGCTACATTCGACCATGAACACCATAGTACGATCGTTAGTACAAGACATTATAGAGCGCCCGAAGTAATTTTAGGTGAGTAACCTTCGTAAAATCAGCTGTTCAGATTACGAAATTCTTATTATTGATTCGTTACCCGTTTTGTATAGAATTAGGATGGTCTCAGCCTTGTGACGTATGGTCGATTGGCTGCATCCTCTTCGAATTGTACCTGGGTATTACCTTATTCCAAACACACGACAACCGCGAGCACTTAGCGATGATGGAACGTATACTTGGCACGATTCCACATCGTATGGCCCGTAAGACTAAAACTAAATACTTCTATCATGGCAAATTAGAATGGGACGAGAAGAGCTCAGCCGGTAGATATGTACGTGACAATTGCAAACCTTTACACGTAAGTAATTAGTCATTGTTCTAAATATATTATACTAAATTACATAATTATCTAAAAGTGTTTATTTTCCTATAAATAACAAATACTGCGTATGCGGTGAACGGATCTTCTAATTTAAAATTACCTTTAAATGTTAATGTATTTTCATTTTGTATACGCAGCGTTGTATGCTTTCGGACGATGAAGAACATCGACAACTATTCGATCTCGTCCAAAAAATGTTAGAATATGAACCTTCTCAAAGGATAACACTAAAGGACGCGCTGGCACATTCTTTCTTTGATGCGTTACCTGCACATCAAAGATTACCAGATCTTCGGGCAGCAGGCGATTCTCAACAAAGTCATGAACGATCACATTCTCTCTCACGATGAAGCTAGGAAAGGGACCGACTTCCGTACTGGACAGACACTCTACGGTCAACGACGTTATTGTCCCACGTCGTTAATCTGATAAGTCTTATAAGACTGTATCTTTCCGGTTATAACAAGATTCGATGACATAAACCGAATAACTAAACGAATTTAAACAAGTAGATAAAAAGAAAGGAAAAGAAGAAAAAAGGCTCGAAATTTTATTAGAAAATGTAATTAAATTTGTTAGCAACGATCAACGACGTTGATTAAATTGCAAAATTGTATTGTTTATTAACAGTGTAAAATAAAAGAAAAAAAGCAGTAGTACAATGGTGCTGTGGGACTCAGATTCGATATAATTTATGATAGATTATCGAGAATGATCACATGAAAAATACACCAAGTTACCATTCTTATCTCCAATTGCGAGATATTAAAATTGGTAGATGACGTAATGTGACTTGACGAGGTAGGTCCCTATTAATGGTTTGCATAAAGACCAGCGTGTCTGCTCAGTGTAGGGTTATAAAGTCCCGCGACACTGTTAACATTTTCTAAACGCTCTTCTGTACATTTTATCCCTTAATTTTATTACAATGTTATTATGCAACAAAGTTTGGAGTAAAGAAGGGTCGCAGTTTATACTCTGTTTGTTATAGATTGATGACCATGGCGTGTTTAGTAGTAAGAAAAAGATTTAGCATTAAGAAATAAGTAAATATATGCGTACGTGTTGACACTAAGATTAACGAAAAAGAGAAAGTGAGAGCGAGAAAGGGAGGGAGTGTGTGAGAAAGAAATTCATTGGACGCCAATTCATCGTCGTAAAATACAAGTGTTAATGTTTTCAGAAAGCATCAAAATACCGCATATACGATTTATTTTAGAAAATGCGCTAGATCATTTTTAGAAACTTTTGGATAAAGCTGATGAAAACTTGTTTCATTTTTTTTCCTTTTTGGTTTAATGCATATCTAAATTTTGTGCATAATCTTACGATATTACAGACAATCATGTGTATTTTACGTTTCATCAATCCGATCAGAAGGCTGAAATGGATTGATTGAATGGCACCTCCTAAATACTGAGAATTTTACGCGTGCGTCGCATATAATCCTTAAGAATAAATGCGAACTCACGTACCTAAGAACGCCTCTGCTTTTATTTTGTTTAATGGAGGAATAAGTTCTGAAGAATTACGAAGCTCCTAAACAATGTAAATCTCGTTTGACTCTTTGTTTTCTTATACATACGACGAAAATTATCACATTCTGCTGCTCGTACAAAATACGAAAGGAATATGTCTGAGCACTGCGAAAAAATGCTGTTTCGAGTAGCAATAAACACGTTTCTTTCAAATAATTATTTGATATTTATTTTTCCAACTAGCAAATCAAGTTTTTCATCCCAATAATTTAAAGTTGTCCAATACATCGTTGCGTTACATACGTTTATACAATATTTCGACAAGATACTTTTTACAATACACACTCATACATGTTGCTCATACACGCGCACGTAAAACAGAGCTTTTATATACGAACCTGGTCAACAGGCAATTACAATACCATACCAAATAAAAAAATCAACATTGTTAGACAAATGTTGCGTACATCTGTGTAATCGATCTACTCAAATTTTATCAAAGCCTCACATATAAGACGATGACAGTCAGAATTACAGTTTAGGCCATTTGTATACTGGAGGAACTGATGGTTTGTAAGTTGTATCGTACAATTGTGCCTGAATAAATTTTTCATAGTCTTTGGGCTGAGGATGGACCGTAGCAAGTTCTAAGGAAATAAAATCAATTATTTAGTTCGATCTAATTGCTAAACGCATCATACAGGAATGTGAGAAAATACAAGTCTTACCATTGTCATAACCATACTTCATAACCTCAACGGCTATTTTTAAAGAACATTTCTGAATGTCCTGGAGTGGCGGATACAAGTTTCCTTTCTCTAAATCTTCCTCAGAAACCATATCGGACAATGACTTGGCAGCAACGAGGAATGTGTCTTCAGGAATAGTACGCATACCACAGCATATGACGCCCAATGCTACTCCAGGGAAGATATAACTGTTATTTCCCTGACCAGGATAGAAAGTCTTTCCATTGTACGTCACTGGTGGGAACGGTGATCCACTAGCGAATATACATTTTCCCTGTAAATATTTAAAATTAATTACTCAATTTTTTGCTCTTACATACTATAGTTCACACATTGTTGGAGTACAATTGAGAATTTTATAATATTTTTGTAATAATACCTTTGTAGCAGTGTATGCTTGCTCAGCAGTGCATTCTGCTTTACTTGTTGGATTGCTAAGAGCAAAAATTACAGGCTTTTCATTGTTATTTGCCATTTCTACCAATATTTCAGTGGTAAACGCGCCACCAACTGCTGCTGCACCAATAAGTACCGTAGGTTTTGCGGTTTTGACAACTTCCAATAACGTATCTATTGGCGCATCATCTCGAGCGAAGTGCAACTTGTGCTCCGTTAGCCCACCGCTTGGACGATTTTTAACAATTAATCCTTTCGAGTCGACCATCCAAATTTTACTCTTGGCTTCTGCTTTGCTCACACCTTCTTTCTGCATGGCCATGACACACAACCACGCAATGCCCAGTGAAGCCTACAATATTGAATACATCTTAATCTTGACACTAATTCAGATTATGTTTATATTTACGATATCGATTTATAGTTTCTTAATACATTTCTTAAAAGTATTTCAATCGATCTAAAATATCAAGTGTTGATATTTACCTCTCCAGCACCTTGGAAGACGATTGTATTTTCCGACAATTTCGTATTCGTGACACGAAGAGATGCCAACAAACCAGCTACAGCAACTGATGCAGTTCCCTGGATATCGTCGTTGAAGGTGCAGTAGTGATCACGATATTTATTAAGTAATCTGAACGCATTGGCGTTTCCAAAGTCTTCAAACTGGATTAAAGTGTTTTGTCCGTATCTTTTGACGACAGCCTGCATAAATTCGTCCAAAAATTCGTCGTATTCCTCACCAGTAACACGCTTATGTCTGTGGCCAATGTAGAGAGGATCGTCTAACAGAGACTGAAACAGAAGTTAGTATTTTATCATTTTGTATAACATTTATTATCTTCTTTGCGTATGTTTACATATAAATAATATAGTTTTTAGATCCATCCTGTGCTGTTTTAAAACATACATATCTTGCAAAAACCCATTGTTTCGCATGACAAGAGTTAATTCCATTATAAGAATTAACACAATTTATAAATGCACATTCGACATATGTATTTCATAATCACATTTTGTTCACAGGAAACACTTTCGCTTAATTAAGAAGTTGATTACTTCATAATTAATGCATTTGTAATCTCCTGACCCGTATATGGGTACACAATTTAGACACCTGAACTCTGAACGCGTTAATTATTTAGAAACCTTTGTACCAACCTGAGTGTTTGTACCAACGTCTAGAGTAATTGGCAAGCACTGGTGAGGTTTAATTCCAGCCAAAGCGGTGTACAAAGACAATTTTCCAATTGGTATTCCCATTCCATAGGCCCCTAAGTCACCCAGTCCCAATATTCTTTCACCATCGGTTACGACGATGGCTCGTACATCGTGTTCAGGCCAATTACACATAATATCATATATATAGCCTTTGTCATATATACTTATAAACAGACCTCGTGGTCTTCTGTAAATTAGGCCAAATTTCTGACATGCTAAACCTACTGTGGGTGTATATACCAGGGGCATCATTTTCTCCACATTTTCTCCCAATAGACGGTAGAAAAGTTTTTCATTTCGGTCCTGTAAGAATAATAATATTAAACGGTTATTCTTCTTCAGTGGAAATGTAATACAGAATAAACAAAATTTAGAACAATTTCTTTCGATCCTCTAGATTCTCCTTATACTTTAGAATATTTCAGATATTTCACCGAATAATCTTGACTATTTTGAACAAATTTCTCAATTCAATTTGCCAGTTTATAACTGAGATACTTATAAAGGAAAGGATAAACTTAATGATCAATACTTACCAGTAAACCAATGAGGTATATATATTTTGATAAATCATCATCATAACGATCTAGATTCAAGCGACAGAGTTCTAGTTGTTCTTCCTGGGTTTTTACAGCTGCTGGCAATAGACCATGAATACCTAATGTCTGTCTCTCCTCAATATTAAAGGCCATCCCCTGCAAATGAAAAGATTATTTATTTTCATAAGTATACATTGCAGTGTGATCTGAAATAGAAATTATAAATGATGCTAGTACAATTCATTCATTTTGTACGTCAAGAGATTACGAAAGGAAATTGCGTGAATACGTACACTTCTTTCTCTTATCGATATTATCTAATTTAAATAGTGGGGGCCATCAGTTTAAATGAATGCAATAAACAGAGGCGCATCATGGGGTCAGCCTGATGCTATCCTGACATTGACAGGAATCATTCCATTACTGTCTGCAATGGGTTAACGAGAAAATTCCTGTCGGTTGGCAGTGAACGTGAGTGAAAGGCGATCAGCTGTTGCCTCTGACTCGATCTTACATCATGGTCTTTAAATAACACGCGCTCGGATGTTTGCAAATCAAAATATTTCGTAACTCGCGTTCAATGATATGATCTGTTAACAAATTTTGGAATACTTTGATTTTATTTTTATACGACGAGGGAAGATCGTTCTCGAAAACATAGAAGAGAGAATATTGAAATTGAAATTTGAAACAGTTCGAAAGGAAATCAAGTACGTACGAGTTTAATTTTTTCTTAATGCGTTCACCCTCTTTCTGTTAACTTATTTTCCAATAGGCGTGTAATATTTCTCTTCTTTTGCTTAATCTCCAACCAACAGGAAACATTAATCTCAAAACCGTAAAATTGTCAATTATAAACCACATGATATAAAACCGTGAGACATTAAGGAGTTTAGAAACAAGCAATTGAGATGATGTATCGCTTATGTACACGGGAATTAACGAATATACCCTCAGGATGTAAATTTCCATGATCCACATTCGGTTCGCTCAAGGACCCACTTACTTGATGGACCAGATGCTTGAAGCATTTAAATCAGCAAAGGAGTCAATAAATCTTTCGACTTCAAAGCGGTACGTACGATGTATATGTAACATCTTCGATCGATAAAGAATGACATAATAACTGATAAAATTAAAAAAAAAAATTACTTCGTCATTGATCAATTTTGTCTAATTTTCGCTGCCATTGTGTAAAAAAAGAAACATAAATAAATTAGTATTGTGTCGTAATGAATAAGTTGAGTCAGATCGTTGAACGTGTCAAAGGACGTACAATTCTATGCGTTTTTTCCGATGTCAGCTGTTTTGAAAACATTCTCGAGGATCGCTTTAAATTGGACACGCTGTATCCTACTATTAACGATATTAACATAATAATAATAATAGCGAATATGTGTAACTTGTCTGTTTCAGAAACGTATTATTTTAACAAGAAATTGTTACAAATAACATTCTATAATATGACATTCTATTAAGTAACATAACTAAAGCTCGTTAAAATTAGATTCAATTTCCATGGAAGATGCAACATTTAGGGGGTCAACGTTAGTCTCAACAGTCCATAATTTTTAATTCCATTCACTCGCAAGATTCATCGGTTTGCCAACTAGCTAATTAGGCTGGCTAATTAAGTTCAACTTAATCAGCACTGATATTATGGCCAAGAGCAAAGAACAGTACGCATCGTTATGATCGACGTGGTCATATTACATAATTGTTTTTTTATTGATTTTTATTTATTATCGAAACCTATATATCCATCGTCAAGGCCAAAGATATAAAAATCAAGAGAAGAAAGAACGTACAGAAGACTTTAATATCGGAAGCGTGGAATGTCTGTCCAATTTATACTGGACATAACCAGACCAAGTGGTAGTTTTAATATTAGAATTAGTAGAATAGGCGAAGTGACTGATACAAAATTTTATAAATACGCAATAGTCTATTTTCGTGGGATTTGAGTGGTTTTTGTTAGAATGTTTAGACAAAAGTTTTCATCGAGCCAGTGAAACGTTCTCTCGAAACACTTTCAAGACGCGTATCTTGTTTCAACATTATGAATTTGCTTCGAATTTCGTTCATAAAATGTTCTTTGTATGTATATCGACTGATTAATTCGTTTATTTCTACGCC